GGGAAATTAATTATAATTAAATGATCAACAGAGACACACAACAACCAGAGAGACACACGATGATGTGAAACCATCACGTCAGACCCAGAAGCTGCTGCTGTGCATCTCAAACACAACGAGGAGCTGATCAACGTTCTCATGTCCACGTTTAGTTACACAACAAGCCTCACAGCAGCTACACAACCTCATACAGGAGACAAAGAAACACCACAAACACACACGAGGTCAACAAAGACACACGACACGGTGCAGATTGATCACAGAGACTAACAGCAGAATGACCACAAACGTACACAGACTGACTGCAGACACACAAAACCAGCAGAACGACCGCCGTGAGACCAACAACAGCCACAAAGAGTCCAGAGGAGTCGCAGGAGTCCTGGTGGCCTCCTCACTAGTCTCCTTCTAGTACCTCCTTCAGAGGAGTCACAGGAGTCCTGGTGGCCTCCTCACTAGTCTCCTTCTAGTACCTCCTTCAGAGGAGTCACAGGAGTCCTGGTGGCCTCCTCTCTAGTCTCCTTCTAGTAACTCAAACAGAATCTTGTGTTTGTGAATTCTTTTTGAAGCCAGACTAAATGAGTCCAGTTTGATGTTGAAGGCACCACCAGAGGAACCTCCTCAGGTGGGTTCTCCTGAGCCATGAGGCTTCACCAGGTGTTTTACTGACCAGCTACGTCTTCACATGTTGTCACACATCCTCCACATGATGATGCTCATTAAAGTACGTATGATTTTTAGCATTTCTGATTTAAACCGTGGCTCTGACCCACGTCCTGGTTCTGTGGTTCTATTCATCTTCATGATGTTTCTGCTGCAGTCATCAGCTTCAGCGTCCCATCGTTTGCTCCTCAGACTGCTGCTGCTGAACGTTCTGCTGTGTTCGTGTCTCCATTTGGGCTCGACGGTGATTTCTCTGTAATTGCAGCGTTTTTCTCCGCGGCTCATTACGGCCCAGGCCCGGCGTGGAAACAGAAATCACGGCTAGCTCGAGTGTGAAATTAATAACTGGAGGGCGGAGAAGCGCTGACGGCGGCCTTTTGCTCGCCGCCTTCCCCCAACGCCCAGCCGGGCTCCGGAGGCCTGCTGGGTTCCTGATGGACTATCGACCCGCCGCCAACACGTCAGAATCAGTCAGAACAGCTCATCAGAAACAGACTGAACATGTAGAGGAGACTCGGTTCTGATGGACAGGAGCAGCGAATGAAACCGTTTCCTGTTCAGCAGCTGATTGAAGCCGGAGTCCGTCTGACATCACCACGTCCAAACGGTTGGGTTCTGGTGCTGTCTGCACGGGAACGTTCCGTTTTGTAAACACGTCTCGATAACTCTGTGATGGACCGTTTCTACACGTGGCTTAAGTGAAATGAAGACGTCTAACAGCTGTGTGGGTCAGCGCCGCTCCGGTACCAGCTCAGTGAATCCTGAGACACTGAGTTTGGTTCTCGGTCGGTTCTGAGTCTGTCGGTCTGCGTCGACGTCATGAGGTCCGCTAGCAAAACAACACAACAGCCAAGACCAAGGTGTGAATCCTGCAGGAGGCGTTTCAGCTCAACTTTTCTCACTTTGTTGAGTTTCAGTCGTGGTTCTGAGTCACAGTTCAAGTCGTGGTCCAGTTTACACGAAGCAGGAACGGTGACGTGTCGATGTGTCTGGTTGACACGTAGACGAAGCTACGAGTCACTGATCACATCTGGAAAAACTCCGTGTTGACGTTTGTACGTAGACAGGAGGAGACGGAGTGTGATGTCATCAGTGTGCGACCATGTTGGGCTGCTGTGATAGAAGTCAGTATTTTAGTGTTTTCCTCGTTGTGTTCGCTAACATGTAGGAGCAGCGCCACCTCTCTGTCGGTCCAGACGAACCTCCCTCGCCCGTTATCGCTGAAGTAACAGGAAGTAGTTCATCATTGGTTGTTGTGTTTTTTTTCCATGATTCCGATTGGCCAGCATGGCTTCTGGTTACACTGCCCCCTACAGGTCTGACAGCTCATAGCAGCTCTGAACCACGTGTTTATGAGGGTTTGTGTGAACGACGTTATTTTTGAAAGCGTAGATCTGTTTTAGTGAACACCGGCTACGTGTGAACGTGGTCTCAGTTTCTGGTCACGGTCGTCAGTTCTCATCTTCTGTCTTCAGTTTTAGTTTTTAGTCTCTGTTTTAACTAACGAGCTCGTCTGGAAGCTAAACTGGACTGAAAACTACAACGTACCAACAATCTAAAGTACAACATCTGGAGCAGACATTTTCTTTTCTTGTTTTTTGTTGACAGATGAATCTAGATCATTCTGAACAGGATCCGGTTCGTCCTCTGGGGAACCGATTCCATCGAGTCGACATGAGACTCGTTACATTAGACGGTTCAGTTTAAATCTGCTGGGTGTTCACAGCTGCTGCAGCTTCCAGCAACATCTGGAGCCGACGGCAAATCTTTTATCGTTTGAGCATCATCATCTTCATCATCATCTTCATCATCATCATCTTCACCAGCTTCTCCTCCCTCCTCATCAGCTATTCACTGGTTCCATCAAACGCCTCCGTCTTTCGTCTCCATCGCCCTCCGGGAGGCTCCAGGCGCCGAGGAGAAGGAGAAGGAAGCAGGCGTCCATCTTTCACTCCCAGCATGCCGAGGGGGAGGCAGGGGATGCTAATCGTACCCGAGGGAGAGGAGGAGGGAGGAAGGTTGAATCAGGATGAGACCAGGACGAACCGGGAGGAGGAGGAGGAGGAGGAGGAGGAAGGATTCAGTCGAGTCTGGAGTTATTCAGGGATGAATTCTTACAGTGTTGATATCTAGCAGGCCAACGACGACGCAGGTTCAGTAAAACCAGGCTTTGTTTGGATCAGCTGGTTCATCTAAACCTAAAAGCCCGATCAGACGTGAGGATGAGGCTCCAATGAGGAGAGTCTGGTGCAGTTCTGCTGTTCAAACGATGATGTATCTCCTGATAGCGACGCTCAGAGATGGTCAGAAGATAAAACGTGTTTTGGGTCATGAACCATTTTTTTTGTCGTTGGTTGTTTGTTAGTTTGGTCTCATTCTGAGTCATTCTCAAATATCTTTTGCTTATTTTTGAGACGTTTAAGACTTTGTTGAGTGATTTTAACCAAACAGAACCACATCCAGGGTACCACTGACTGTTCCTATGACTCTGTCACATTCAACTGTTCACACTGTGAGACATCCCATAATACTGCTGCTACCAGCTGGTTATGAAATTAATTATTTGTATTTTTTATTTATCATTTTGGATCATTTTCGATGTGTTTCTGCTGTTCTGGACAAATGAGTTCTGAGTAACTGTTGTAGTTTTCAGGCAGTTTGGTCAGTCATTTTCATTTTTTTTTTTAACAGAACCAGGTCCAGTGTTCAGACTGAGACACCTGGATGGATGTAGAACTGATCTGGTGTCAGGTTCTAGCAGAACCCAGATGTGTTCTTCCTCCTAAATGTCATGTGTCTATCTGCTGTACTGATGAAGTTCTGAGGCTCAGAAATGATGGAAAAAGTCCATTAAAGTGATCAATCTGGACCCTCCTCTGTGGACTTCAAGGACCTGGACCTCTCCACTGGATGTTCTGACTTAGTTTAAAGTCAGGATGTGGAACAGCTTCTGTCTGGAGTTAAAAGTAAACCGACCCACAACCGTTAAGGTCACTGATTAATGTTCACAGTCTGAAGGTAGAACTCTGCTTCATTAAGTAAAGTTACTGCAGATACAGAACCAGCTGGTTCTGAGGAGGTTCTGGGGGAACTCTGATCAGATTTAATTGAGTTTCTATTATATTGTGCATCACAGACGCACACCTGTGATGAATACCAACGAGGCTGAGAGTCTCACCTGGAAGCAGCAGGTCTGGTTCTGGTTCTGGTGTTTCCTGCAGATATAAACTAATGACATCACACACCTGCAGGAACAGGAGCAGCTCCACGTCGGCCTCCGGCTGCATTATGATGCTAATGTCTGCAGGTGCTGAGTGAACGGGAGGCGTTTGGTAATTAGCATCGGTTCAGCCCGACGTCAGAGCGTCTGCAGCACGTTTACAGTCAGTCGCCAACGAAACGTGATGTGGAAGAAAGTTTTTATGACCCCTCAGGAGGCAGAACAGCTCAGACTCAGCATGCATCCCTATAAACACACAGATTATATGAGCAGTAGGTTATAGTTACGGGTCGCTTGAAGGGTTTAGGTTCTGTGACATGAAGACAACAAAGAAACACGCAGATAAAAGAAAAAACCTGAACTTCACGCTTCTGGAGGGTCGAGGGTTCTGATGTGTTTGGATCCATTAGAACAAAATAAAAAAATATTCATATTAAAGTTAAAAAAAGGCGTACGTTTGGCTTCTTAATGTTTAATGAAGGAGATGTACACATTAATCTATTTAACTATCTATGATAAATACAATCGATATGTTTTTACAAATAAGTCATCGTTTTATAATGTCTGAATGTTAAATTATTATTATTATTATTATTTAGATATTTGCTAAATATGTTTAGGATAACATGTACTGAGTATATTAAGATTATTTTTTAACCTTTTATTTTATATATTTTCTTGTGTTGTTAAATTACAAATATCCTGTAAAATCACAGAAAAAAAAGTAAAATATAGTAAAATATAAATATATATATTCCACACAGTGTGACTGTAAGATTACAGCTAAAAATGTTATTTTTCAGATCTTGGCTGTTATTTATGTATTTTTATTTTTTAATTCCAGTAATATTATATTATTGCCCCTTGATGCCATTTGTTTTTTTTAACACTCCCGTCCTCTGGTTTACTATAAATACTGACCTCTGATGCTCTCGTCTTGCTGTCTGCTCTGTTTCACTGTTGATTCTGTCTTTAAAGCTTTTTACTTCCATCCTGATGCTGAACTGCATTTTCGTTCTCTGTGTAATTAACTGGATCGAACATGAAACACTGGACCTGAGCTGGTTTCAGGTCTTTCTCCTCAGACTCTAACCCTCGTGTCTCGTTGTGTTTCCAGCAGAAAGGATGGACCAGCTCTCTGCGGCCGATGGACCGACACGGGAACCCGAAGGTGAAGCTGCCATCAGTCGTCTTTAACGAGGTTCCTCCGCTGATAGATGGAGAACGCTGCGTCCGCGCTGCCACCTGCTCGGCTGATTTATCGGCTCTGGTGGTCGTCTCTAGAAGTTTAAAGCTGCTGCAGGCCGACATGTTTGTTCGTTTAACACACCGACACACACTGACTCACACACTCTGCAGCTTCCATCACATCAACCAGAACATTTCAGCTCCTCCATGTTCTTTGGTGTTTAAAGGACGTGAGGTTCAAAGTGAGAAAAAAACAGCTGAGAAACCCTCTGAACCTGTGGAAACACGCCACGTGTTCACTCTAGTCAGCCAGAGAACGAGGAAGTCGTCCATGTGGTGTTTAGAAGTCGTGTCCTGGTGGATGAACTCACCTGGTTTCAGGTAAACGCGTCTCGTTTCAACGTTCGGTCTCTCAGCTGGATCTGATGCAGACCAGAAGCTTCCAGAAGCACAGCGAGGCGTTTAGGGAGCGTCTGGAAACTCCAGCATGCCCCGATGACTGTGAGGCGTTTACGGAACGTCCACAACTTGTAGAGTCTACCACGAGTAACCTGAAGCATTCAGGGAACGTTGGTGAATTGTAGCGTCTACCGTGGAGCATTTGAGTAATCCTGGGAAATCCTAGTGTCTCCGATTGCCTGTGTATGAGGCGTTTAGTAACGCTGGTAAAATGAAGCATCTACCATCTCACCTGCATATGAGGCATTCAGGAAACCTCGGTAAATTGTATGATGGTCTTTCTGTGAGGCATTTAGGTAACGTCGGTAAATTGTATCATCTGAGATTAGCTTTTTATGTGAGGCGTTCAGGACACATTGGTAAATTGGAGCGTCTACTGATGGTCTTTATGTGAGGCGTTTAGGTAAACTTGGGAAATTGTAGCCTCTACTGTTCAGCATACGTGAGGCGTTTAGGTAACGTCTGTAAAGCGTCTTTTAATATCTAATATATAAAATCGTGAGCTTCTCTGAGGGCATGAACAAAGTCTCCATCTCAGAGTCTGCATATGAGGCGTTTAGGTACTTTGGGGACTTCTATCATCCACTGAGAACCTACATGTGAGGCGTTTAGGTGCCACTGGGAGATTCTAGCCTCTCCTGATACCTGCCTAAATAACGGCACATTTCATTGGTCACCAGGACGAAAGCTGCATTTACAGAATCAAACGTTTGATTTCCAGCCTCACAGAGGGCAGTGAAGGCAGCACGAGTCGGTCATTTAGAAACGTTGTGGTGACTTCAGGGACACCATGAGCTAAAAGCTCTGCAGATCCTGTTAGGTTGAGCTGCGAGGTCTGTGATCTGACAGAGGTGTGTGGACGAGATGCAGAAGGTCTGAGTTCTGTTCATCTGATGCTGGTTCTTGATGTTCTGATGTGACTGATGACAGGTGAGGAGCTCTGGTTGGTGTAAAGATGCCAAATAATAAATGGAAGTTTGACATCCGGCTCTGTGGAACAAGAAGCAGAATTCCAGCTTTCAGGATGAATAACTGGATGTTCCTGAGACGTTTCTGGGTTCATATCGACTCGTGTTCAGGTTCTTTCATCAGCGTTTGGGTCTCTGCAGCTCGTTTCCATCCTGATTTCCCTCCGGATGAGCCGAGGCTGGTTTCCACGTTCACAGAGTCGGCGGCAGCGTTTCCGTCTGCCAGCCTCCTCTAAAGCATCGGCCGTATTTCTATGGCAACCGAGGTTTCCTCCTGCAGCAGCCAGCAGCCTCCCGGCGCGTTAACTCCTCCACCGCCGGCTGCTTCCCTCTGGATTCTCTTCACTTTGCTGTCTGAGCTGACGACGCCGGAAAACCTGGAACACGTCCAGAAAGTCTGAGCGGCGTTGTGACAGTCGGTCTGTGGCACGTAAATAAACCCCCGAGGATTGTGGGTAGTGGAAGGAAACAGACGCAGCAAAGCTCTGAGTGCATGAGATGCTGGATGGAAAGCATCAAACATGCATATGAGACGTTTAGGTAACACTGGTAAACTGGAGCGTCTACTGATGGTCCTTCTGCGAGGCGTTCAGGACACATTGGTAAATCGTAGCACCTGCTGCTAAGTACGGAGTGTTTAGGTAACCTCCGTAAACTGGAGTGTCTTCAGTTCTGATTTCTGTTCTGCTTCCAGAGAAAAACTTTGGAACCAAACAGAGTTTCAGAAACGAGCTTCAGAAGGAGATTCATGGTCTCAGGCCAACGAGGCCGAAGACGTTCTGAGTCAAGCAGCTGCCCTGATTCACCGTTATTCAAACCTGCCATCGTGAATTCTTCTTCCTGCTTCTGATTGAAGCCTGATTTCTAAATCCCAGCTTCATTTATGAATCCAGCACTTCTACGATTCATTTTGGTTCAGCTTCAGGCAGCTCTGAGACGTCGCCTCGTCTTAGTGGTTCGTCGTGTTTTCTGTTCAAGGATTCAACAGTTTGTGTCAAAGCAAAACACATTTTGAGAGAATCCTGAAAACTGCTTCATCCTGATTTATCAGGAAATAACTAAATATGACACGTATATCACCGTTAAATCTACTGGACTCATCAGACCTCAAACAAAGATCTCCGTCTAAAAACACCAACGATGCTCAAAGTCAGTCACAGAGGAAAAGACCAAAAAGTAGATTTAATGTTTAGACTGTGACACCTGAGTGGTAGTAAGATAGATTTCTGTCCAGAGGGCCGAACTATGAGGAGAGATCAGTGTGATCTCCATGGCAACTGATGCTGTGGAGCCAAGTCTCCATGGTGACTGCTGCCGTGGAGCTAGGTCTCCATGGTAACTGATGCTGTGGAGCTGGGTCTCCATGGCAACTGATCCTGCGGAGCTAGGTCTCCATGGCAACTGATGCTGTGGAGCTAGGTCTCCATGGTGACTGATGCTGTGGAGCTAGGTCTCCATGG